CCCACAGAGGGCACAAAAGCTTGGCCGACTGACTACCGAGATATATGCTATATATACAATCGTGCTATACTGTACGTCTTTATAACACTCTATGTAGTATATTGACTGTCTTGGAATGATTTTGAGAGAGCAAAACAAAGTTTGACAACGCTGCTCTTCAATGGAGTTCGTAGTCTTTTTTAATATGGGAACAACCACATTATTTTGCTGGTACTTTCATGTTCAATGAAGATATTCATTATTCTGGTTAAGATTCATTTTTAAATAAGTTCTAGTATATACTAGTATATACTAAAGATGTTAAATAATGTTACTGCCCCGTTGCCCGAACGGTAGCAGGTGCGACTGCCAGGCAAGGGGTCTTGAGTTCGATTCCCGGGTCGGGCAAAGTATTTCTGTTTTATTTTTAAATCTCAGTAGTAGCACGGAGTCTGGAATTGTGCCCGGTATATGGCAATAGGCTCACCCCCTATTACATGAGGCTCATAACATAGATAAATAGTGAAAGTTTGTGTTACATTGTACAGTGGCATTAGGCGCCATAATGTGCACCACGCCTTTTATACCCCTTCGGGGATAAAAGGCATGATGTTATGTTATGTTAAACAATAGGAAATTGATAAATGTAGGATGTATATTTTTCTATCCAGGTTTAATCTAATATATTACATGAGTACACTGTTTCTGTTTCTTAACAATCACTGCATTAGAAATCTAAAAAGTAAAAGAAGTATTTCAATTTCATATTCAATACACGTTAGAACGATGTAATATCTAGTACTATTATTATTTCTTGGCAATATAATTTGTGGTTGAAATAGGACTTACATACATATCTATTTTAATATATCGATCACCTTGTAAAGGTTGTCTGCAAGACTTCGACCTTACGCGACATTTCAAATTATTTCACAACTATTTTGTACTTACCTCTTATATGTACTGAAATCGACCAAATGTAATTATATAAAAATCCTCTACATCAATGAAGTACGTACTTTAAGTAATAGTACCACTCCGTTTATTTAATAATCTGGGACCAAAATTGTTATTATTTTGTATTATACTCCATCGACATAGAAATCCAGTCTTGAGCGCCCCCTCCGCATATGTCAGCTTCTCACGTACATTTCTGCAGCTCTCAAATCGACTCGAGTATGGATTACATACAGCCGACGACTTGAGCCACCCTATACTACGAAACAACAGGCTTAAGTCAAAAGAAAAGGCGTCATTGTGCCAGTTTGTCAAAAGTGATATAGTTTTGATTTTCAAAGAAGCTTTTGATCAAAAAATTTACTATATAACTACCGCTATAAGTGCATATGAAAAGTTTTTAAATCGAATTATGAACTTTCAATAGGTTATTTTAGTATTTTCTTCAATTTCAATTTCAACTTCTACGATATTTAGTAATTACAATATTTTATGTTACATTTGGGATACCTCAAGGAAGCGTTCTGGGTCAAAATTATGAACGTCTTTAACTTCATTAAATTAACTCGTCGAGTACCGTCATTATAGACACAATTATAGAACAATAGGTTGCGGTCACCGGTGACCGCTTGGTGTTTGACAGTTTAAGTAAAATATATATTTTGTTCTAATTTTCTACTACCTCTAGTTGCATTACATTTTATCAAACAAACCATAATAAACCAACTTTGAAAACATTTTGAACTCTGTTTGGTTATTGATTTATTTTATTTACTACATAAACTTGTACCACACACATTTCATCCGCCATATTCACTCGGGTGGCGCCCCTACGCAACAAGACGATGCCGATGTATTGAAATTTGTCGCGTCGCACAGCCCTTTGACTTACTTCATGCTACCAAAGTTGCTGACTGTTATTGAAGCGTATACGTCTACAAAGTTCAGCTTAAATTTAAGACGTCTATTGTTCTATGTGACGTGTATTGCTGATATTATAAGTTACTTTGCAGCTTATGTTGCTTAAATTAATATTATTTGAGCATTTATGACGTATTCTCAATTAGTTAGTCTTGTATGTCCGTAATATGTACTTTAGTTTCAAAGGGTAGAGGTGCACATTTTTAATCAGTTGAGTTTCTTGTAATAAAAGTGCCATAATTTACGCACATTCTAAGATTTTTTTTCACTTTGTGCTATTTCTGAATACTATTGAAAACCGATAATTCTTCTTAATATTGAGGAAACTGTTAGAAATTCCTTATGTTATGAATTAGGATATATTTTAAAGCAAATAGTTCGATTAAATTCTTCAACGGACTGAATTGACTAAAATGAATGTAGTGAGTTAACAAGTTCATTTTCTGTAGAAGCAAACCAAAAAACTACAGTAACAAAACGTTTAAAACAAATTGGTATGATGACATGAAACTCGCATCCGTGTTTCACTTCTTTTGTAAACAGTCATACTGACTTACCTGGATACTTACCAATGTTTCTGCAGTTTGGCAAGTCACTCACCGGCGCGACGTAAGGTTAAAGTCATCGAGAGAAAGGTAGCCGCACTCTATGTAACCTGTCCCTCGGGAGATCCGAAGCTTCTGTGCCAAATCGTGAAATATTTTATTTATATCCATGATAGTATATTTTAACCTTACCCAAAGACATGAAAAAGATGTTTTGCAAGTAACATGATGTTTTTAAATACGAACGATTTTAAATATTGCAGTGTGCGGAAAAGAAACGCCTGACATTATTTTTGTCTTTTAATTTTAACTCGTCGAGTACCGGTTTTGCAGACACAATTATAGAACAATAGGTTGCGGTCACCGGTGACCGCTTGGTGTTTGACAGTTTAATCTACCTCTATTAACTACATTAGATTGATTTTCGAATAGTGTATCGTAGTACTTTCCTCCATATTATATAAGTTTATCAGTTTCATCTTGTTCTTTTTATTTCAGCTAGTCACCGTCTCGGCGGCACATTTACTTCACTTCCTCCAACAAGTCCCCTGAGACTCACCTGCCGAAGCCTCCTCTCTGAGACCTTTTACTTTACCGCCCTTTGTTTCCTAAATGTTAAAAGGTTGCAAAATAATGTACCGATCCCAATGGAATAGTAAGCTGTGATATTAATCTAAAGAAATTATTTTTAGGAAATAGTACTAATATGGTCAAAAATAAGACTAAACATTGTGTAAAATTCATAAAGACTAATGATTTTTAATAAATCGTCGAATGTCTTCTCCCGTCTGGTACAGGTGGGAGGGAGTGTGAGACTCTTACTGACTAAAAACCACCCCGTTCTTACTCCTGTACTTCGAACCGGAGTCCCAGAGTCCCGTTAAGTTCTTCGCGGCACCGTATCGGTATCAGCCCTATTGGGCTTCATCCGTGGTGGTCTGATGGCTCTTTGAGTACGCTCAGGTCTGGTTCTGGTCAGGCGGCGAGCCACCCATGCTCGCCGTCCGCAGGCCCGCGCTTACGGTGGCCGGAGATCGTCCCGCGATCCCCGACGCCCGGATTGTCCTTCGCGAGGGCTGGGTTGTGCGGAGGCAGCGCTTTGCTGCCTCATCCAATATGCTTAAGTTAGTTACCGGCACAACTTCTAACTTCTAATGTTAAGGAGAGTAATGCTATAAACAACCTATATGATTTAAATGATTTGAAAATACTTGTACACACAAAAAATGATTCACTTGTAAATTTTGTTAAGTCAGTTTAAGGAAATAAAATAACTGTAAAACTGCTACCGTATGATTTGACAAAAGACCCTCAAGGGAAATGAAAAACACTAAAAATTTGACAAGCGGTAAATTACAATAAATCTTTCAAACGGCTCCGGTAGCATAATCTTGCAAATAGCATACAAATCTTAGTAACAATAACATCTTTTGTCTACAATAAGAAGATTTGCAAAAATTATAACCCTTTAACGCGCCGGACAAAAGAGTTATTATAAAGAAACGTTGTCAACCTTCGGACAAATGAGGAGTTTCGGCTAATTTGTAAGTTTTTGCAATATTTTTTACACCGTCTAAGTCTAGGACAAAAAGCAAAAATCTTTTCGCTGACGTACCGCCTGTCAATACTTTTTCAAAAATTTTGCTAGCGATATACCTTTATGTTTACTTTTCTGGTTTGAATAGCGAATACTCAATTTCTTTTTTCAATATTTCTAATTCCATTTATTTCATTGCTGCGTGTAAGATTAGTGGTCACTTACGGCACAAATGAGGCACGCGATCACTTTTTGTTGATCGGCAATTTGGATAATGGCTTTTAATATCGGTAATTGGTGGATGAAAAAATCGTTTTGTTCACTGATTACGATTTCGGAATAAATAATTTGCATAGATTCATACTTAAGTTATTTGTTTGAGGCCATATCGAGAGCAATAACTCTCAAAATTCAGGAATCAAAACTTAATTTCAAACCTCTTTCAAAACCGTAAACTCGCTGGAATATTTGTTGAAATTTTCTCAGTTTAAAATTCGGTAATTTAAAAAAAAGTGTAATTAATTTCCAAGTGTGAAAAATCCTCCTTGAACCGATATTAAAACTGTGAACATAACTACAAGTTATATCAGAGTTGATAAAACTGTAGTCGTCAGTCGCGCTGGAGATGTTGCGTGCCGGCCACACAATGAGCCGGCGACGTTGATTAATGATCTTACATTCAACGAATACATTACGATTTTTGCTTTCATTTCGTTCGATACGAATGTCACAAGGTTATGATATCGATGCCAGACGAGCGATCGGTGCGTAGGAGTAACTTGTGATGCATGCCGATATGCTTGGATGCGATTTTGGTTGAATGTAAATTGAGTACTTGCTTAACAAGATCGCTTGGGGCGAGGTAAAACTACCAATGAATGTTATTCAATTTAACTAGACAGTGTAATTAAAGTATCTATCATAGCTAAATTCGGAATAGTAGTCTATTTTTTATCTTATTACAATTTGACATTAATATTGTCTTGTCCGTATTCATTTCATTTTGTAACTAAGAATTTAAATAAAAGATATACGTATTTTCATTACTATATTTATTGGTTTTGTATTCACATTTTTCTATTTCAGTTACAAAACAATTTCTCGTTAAAAATTAAATCCACATTTTGTACCTAAGCCTAAGTCATTGTCTACATCACAAAGTCGTGAACGTTATAAACGACGTCTTTATCATTAGGATTATTTTATACAATACATAGCACATCTACCCATCTGTAGCTTTAATTAGGAACAGCATAGTAATGTGAAATAATGATTTATTTTACATTAAAGAATTCAACTAATCTCCAAAATATTTAGAAATTACATAAAATAATTCTTAATAAATAGGGGTACAAAAGCTACATTTTATAAAAATGTAAATCAAATAGAGTGCTTAAGACAGATTGGTAGATGTCACCAAAATAAGAAAATATAGTAGAATGGTAACTAAAGAGTAAGTAGATAGTTTAGCGAACATCGATGACTAATATTTATATATCCATGCAACGTATAAAAAGTTAGTTATTAATTTAATAAATACAATTGTTACTACTGACAATGACTTAAAATAAAATGTACAAATTCAACACTCAGAAGATGTTTACCTACCCTAAAATAATAATAATCACACTTTTGACATTGTAAAGTTTTCCACCTAACTATCCAAACATCCGATTATGACTGATTACTCTAACATACTTACACAACTTAAACAAATCTTAAATTAAATTAATCACTTTATTACACCTTAGACACAAAGGAATGGTAAGAATTACAGTTCGATAATGAAAAATAGAGTTTTTTCTTTACACATCTAAAGATTATAAGGCGGTTAGACCGTAGTCTGATTTGATGACTGGTTGATTGGATGGGATGCCAGTGCCGCAGCCTGCCGTGCCAACGGGTGACCCGTGGGCTGCGAGGTTAGCAAGCAGAGCCGGATCCATGCCTCCGTGCATGCTCATCATGTGAAGGTGATGCGGTGTCATGGGGTGCCCTGGATTCATCTGGCTCCCTGGATGAGACATTGGACTGATCGCTGGATCGTGCGACAAATTTTGTTGAGCTCCAACACAATGTAAATCATTCATTATGTTATCTGTAACATTTTCTATACTGTCCGGTCGGCCATTATTGTTTGATTTTTTCTTATCATTGTTATTTGTATTCTTATTTGATCTACTCTTTGGTGTGCCCTTAGTTGTGGTTGTAGTGACGCCTGCTGGATTGGTTTTTCTCCTCACATTTTTGGTGTTGGGCAATTTATTGTCTTTCTTCCACTTCATCCTTCTGTTTTGGAACCAGATTTTGATTTGTCTCTCCGATAAGACTAGAGTGTGAGCTATCTCTATTCTTCTTCTTCGCGTAAGGTATCGATTGTAGTGGAATTCTTTTTCGAGTTCTAGTATTTGGTGTCTTGTGTAGGCTGTGCGTTGGCGCTTCGGTTCCATTCCAGGTTGAAACTGGCCATTAGCTGTTGAAGAAAAAAGAATAGTATTTAAAATATGTAAATAATTTTAAGTCAAGTTTAAGGAGTAACGGCTAGTTCAATCAATCAATGTTTTATATGTGTTGGTCTGAAAAACAGAACTATAAACACCACACCCATTCGAAACTTTACCTAACAAATAACAAAATATAAATAAGGCCGTACCTACATCAGTAGCGTTGCGTGCTCGACGTACAATAATTTATGTACGAGCCGTTGTGTTAATTAATGTGCATAATAATTACACATGCATGCGCCTAAGCTTCCTTTTTGTTTTGATTAATTGCGCCTAGTAAATTAGTTGTACAGACACCGTGGACATTGATACGATTTCATGCACCTTTTATGGCTTGTTAAAACTTTGCACGTAATATGTACGCACATATAAGGAAGTTGTTTATAGCAACATTATGTATTTGAGTATGTGTTAAGGTTGTTTGAATAATTTCAATTTCGTTTGTTGTCAATTTTGATTGATTACTTGAATTGTAAGACACTTTTACTTTTAGATTAGTGAGGCAAATTACTTGTCTGGCAAAGTCGTTATTACCGTCTGTCAATATACTAACAGTTGGTAGCGATTATTCGTTTTATGTAGAACAAATATTTTTAATCTTATGTTTAGCTATACTATTCTGACAACGATTGGTTCCATCTATATTTTTAACAAATAATTATTCTGTGTCTATACAATTACTTCTTCTTACTGAGTAAAATAGAGATAGTAATAGTACATCAATAACTTTACTGAATTCCGTTTGAGTAACTCGAGCTATGAGGTAACAATCTGACGTCATCTGTGCCTTCAGCCTAATAAATCAAGCTTCGTATAATTCAGGTTTAATCTACGAATTCTATAGGGCCACCCATTCAATTACCTACACCTTTACCTATGCTATCTAGATTAAAGATAAATGCCTTTTTCGTCCCACAAAATTCAGTCCTGGTACCAAGGTCATAAAGTTCAAAAGCTTAGTACGAAACCTCACTTGAATGTTCAATAGAGTTAATATTCTTGGTAGAATAGTTCTATTGTCACCCAAGTCCTAATAATTTCGTAATTTCCTCCAGAGGAAATTGCCTTTATACTCGACGTCAAAGGAGCTTAGGAGTCAATGAAACGTCTTTTTATTTAGAAAGAATAGGACGGAATGAAAATTTCTGGAATTCATTACAGTTCATTCTTTTATAGTTATATGACTTTACAAAATCAAGCACCTAGATATTGTACAGTATACCTACTTAAGGCGAGTTAGGAAATATTTTTTGGAAGGATAATGCAGTAATATGGTCTTAGTAACATCGAATTTATATATTTTGAACAATGCCATCTTAGCGCTCGATAAGTAAATCAGAAGACCAATGACAATATTTTTGTGACTAACGGAGATCTTTAGTATGTAGTAAAAGGTGTTTATTATAAAAAATATTAATATTATTGAGCGTATCAATTTTTATTTCTAATCCGATCAATTATTATCTATAATTCTATTCAAGCTAAAATCTCCCATTTCTTACGATCAAAACCGACATAAAAGCAAACGTTGATATTACGATTATAAATACTTATCTAGGTATAATGACTATTAAAATAATGTATAATACATTTCAAAATAACAAAACAGATATAAATCTTAAAAGATAAACAGTTTTTTATACATTCATTATGCCACATATGAAATATAAATCAAGAAACTCCATCCGCTGCAATGGCCGAACAGTAAGAGGAACATAACGCACACACAATGAAATGAACTTCCTTTTATTTATATCGATAAGACAAAAAGATAATCAGGACTGAGATCACTAATCTGTGATCTATACATAAGAGCGTTAGCGAGAAAGGGATAGATATATTTCTGTGGGGTTCGTTGTGGTATTTCTTTGAATCTCCGCGGTTCTGGTATGTGCGGTCGCCGGGTTGAGCCGAGATTCCCGCTGACCACTGACAACTCTACATTGAGCAGGGTTTGGGATCGTACCAAATAAATATGGAGATACACTTGGCTAGTTTTAGGTATTTTGGCTAACAGATACAAAGAAAATAAGGGAAACTGGAAGCGTGTCTGTTGTTGTGGCCATGTGGCATATAGTTATGCTGCATTTTCTTTTGTGAACGATGATGTTGAATTTTTCAGAATTAAATTGTTAATCAAGTCGTTAAACCGTAGGGTTTAACCCGTAGGCGTACTTATGACATGGTTCTGAGCATTTATTGAGTCCAAATTTAGCTAAAAATATCACGAGACAGGTAGATTCATTGCACGTTTTAATTTGTTGGTCCTCTGTACAATGAGTTACATGGAAATGGAATCAATCATACTTATTTTATAAGGAATTGCTACTGTTTTTGGTAAAGAATATTGTCATAATCTTCTTCAATCAATTTAGTACCGTTTAATCTATAAGTGTGAACACGCAACCGAATTATTTTATAGCCTGAGAACTTGCTCGGGCTTATCTTAGAGCTATTGTTTAAATTTACAATGAATCGGATGAAAATATCAATCTATTAAGAAATATTGCTTTCGCGGTTCATTTAAATTCTAAACTATGATAGATAGGTAAAACCGCTATTAAAGTCATTTATTATTGGATGCAAAGAATTACAGATCAACAATGGTATACTGTTAGAGAAACCAGGATCCAGTCCGAGAGTGGATAACTACAGGCTGATGACAATAATGATATGTTTTCTGATTTTGGTCAGTGTACAAAATTGCTGTATAGTTTATAACCGTAAATCAATCCACCAGAAAGTACAAATACTTGTCTAGGAAATGAATAAAATAGAATAAGTAGTGATACGAATACGAAGATATATTTAATAGCATAGAATTTTCATATTTCATAAATTATGATGATGGACTATTGTAGTTATAGATGTCTGTACGGTAATTATTGTAGTCAATTTGAAACTTCTTCCATCTTTACTACAATAGAGTTCCAAAAATAAAATATCAGGTAGTACGTCGGTACTGCTTAACCTTAACTTAAGTTTACTTAACTTAGAAGTAACCAAGAAAATCCATCCTTTTTACGCTCACAAAGCAAATGCAACACTAGAATAATAAAAAAAAATCTGAAAAAAAAATATGTTCTAATTTAAATAGCCCAGTAGCTACAACGGCTAGTGTTTGTCAAAGTGACCGTAATCAATTACCGACGTATAATTCAAACGTCCGAGACGACAAACAGACTTTATTGACTGATTAGCTGTGAAAACGATTAGAATGCTTTGTTACTCGTAGCATGAAACTAAAATTTGAAGGTAAACGTAGCCTATTCTTGTTCGGGGGGGTTAGATAGCAATTGTATCACATTGAATTTGAGTTCCAAAGATCTGGTTTATTCTTACTCAGAATTTCAGAATTTATCCAGAATGAATTAAAAATTCCTGGCGTGATAGGTAGTTCGACATACAACCAATCGAGCAACAAAGCAGTTAAATCTTTCAATTCATTGAGATGTTAATTTTCGAGATGACATAACCTAATTCTAATAGAGATATTGTTAAGGATAAAGTTCGTCCAAAATAGTGATCAATGTCACAACACAAGGGAACTTAGTAACATATCATTTTAATATTCTTTTAAAAGCTTGTATCAGTAACCGGACAAAAGCAACAACTCATTATTTTAATCATCATCGGGACCGCTACTCGCTACCGGTGCTCGATCTTCGCTTCGTTAGCCACTATCACGTCATCAAGACGATGACAATCTCAATTGAATTACGAGCTACCTGCGACCAACGTGTGGTCCATCTGTTAATCTCGAGTCGATCTTACGACGCATGCGCTATCGGCCTCTCGAGGTGGTCCCGCCTCATTACGTCCAACTTGCGATGGATCTAAAGCCTCTCTGTCCCACTATTGTGTACCATGAAAAATGTTAGTCCAATGACAGGTGTCGATAAGCCAAGTCTCTCTTTTAAATTCGGAATAAAACGCGCGAATGTGATACTAGCAATTTCTTTGACGATCAATCAATTCGATAGGTTCGTTAATGATGTTACAATGGATGAGGATTGCTTTAATGTTTGTCGTTTTAATCGTGAAGGATTTCACTTTTAGTGTAACTTTGTTTGACAGTTTATTAAATTTGTTTGTTCAAATATTAAGGCAGTCAACAAAACGAAATTGGTTGTCTTCAGTTGGAAATAGACGAATAAACAAAATAATGATCAGGCACCGATCAATTTTACTCAAAGATGTTTGCGCACCGTTGTCTATGCGCAAATATTATTAGAAAAAAATAACTTGTACTTGAACTTGGATAAAGTAGGTTTCATGCCTTAAGTATTCTACACTTATAATTTGCTACTGATATTTGAGTTAGAAGTATTTTTTTTTTTTTTTTTTTTTTAAGGGGGGAAAATCATCGAATGACTGCCCCCGCCTGGGTGAGGCGGGAGGGAGTGTCAGACTCTTACTGACTAAAAACCACCCCGTTCCTTCTCCTGCACGTCGAGCCGGAGCCCCGGTTACCCGTTAGGTTCTCCGCGACTCCGAATCGGCATCGGCCCTATTGGGCCCCATCTGTGGTGGTCTGATGGCTCTTTGAGGCGCGCGCGGAACGCGACGCGCCGTACGCTCGGGTCTGTTTCTGGTCGGACGGGGAGCCACCCATGCTCGCCGTCCGCAGGCCCGCGCTTACGGTGGCCGGAGATCGTCCCGCGATCCCCGACGCCCGGTGTGTCCTTCGCGATGGCTGGGTTGCGAGGAGGCAGCGCTTCGCTGCCTCACGCGTCCCGCCTCCTCCTTAGCTAGCATGACTGCTTCGCAAAAGGAGGAGACGGCATCCCAATCCCCCTCGCTCCGCATCATGGCCTGCACTAGGCCCGGACGCGAGAGGTCGCCATCGCCGATCACTTCCCTGAGGACACGGCGGTGCTCAGCCCACGAAGGGCATTCTCCGACCGTGTGTTCCACCGTGTCCTCAGGGCGGTCCTCGCAGTGATGACACCCGGGCGTTTCCTCCCGC